GAGTGCAGGCTGTGCCAGGGACCCCAAATCCAGGATGAAATTCCATGTTCCCTAGAAAGCCCCTCCTTCCCATTTACCGACATGGACCAGTGGCCGTGGAGGGAGTGGGGAGAGGAGGGGGCGGCATTGTGAGGTGGAGTTGGTTTCTCCAGCCTCTCCTGCATTCCTTCCTTTCCCTCTCCTAACGTGAAAAGGTGGGGGAAGGGAACAAACCACAGGGATCTGGGCTTGGTGGGATGGAGCAGTGGTGGCATCTGTGCCACTGCCCCGCCGCTTGCCTTCAACAAAAAATGGGAAAAGAGGTACAAAGAAAAACCCACTGTCTTCACTGACGGCTCAAAGTACTGGAAGGCCACGAGTCAGGCTCAGCCCAATTGGTTGAGTTAAAGGCTGTTGCTATGACATTCCAGTGATTTTCTCAGGTACCTCTGAATTTGGTCGCAGTTTTACACAGAAACACAGGCAGAAAAGGTAATCCTGCAAACCCAACCAGCAGGAAGCCCAGAGGACAGATATACAGAAATAACATAAAGGATATCTGAACCATTCATTCACTCATAACGGTTATTCCTAAGAGCCTTGTATTAAAATGTGTTAAGTGACACCTACCAATTAGAACTTGGGCTGTGGCCAGGCCCTTACTCTACCTGGATGGGATGATTGATAATAAACCCAGATGTTTTCTGCATCAAAAGGTATTCAAGTCACTTTGACTTGACAATTTGACTTCATATATATGACAGCTGAGCCTACTTTCAAAGGAAGATTGGAGAACCATGATCCAGACATGATTCCCCAACTCTCTGCTGATTTGACATTTATCAGCTGTTGCAGACTCTGGGATGACAGTTCAGTGCTATAGTGCCTGATAATTATATAATGTCACATGTGTTATTGATTATGTGCATTATCTGATTAATTCCTAATTGTTGCCTGCTTCTTTTTCATTACATGCATTGTTTGCTCTGAGGTTTCCTCATGCTCATAACCAAGACACACCCGTGTCTGGAAACATATAGAAGCAATTTGTCAACAAAGCTTTTACCATCATCATGGTATGATGTCCCTATTAATCTTCTTCAGCTGTTCTCTGTTTCAGGATCAAGAAGGACATTCAGTGATGTCAAGATCAACATATCCAGTGAATGGAACTTCTCCTGAGATTCAGCTATTTGGACTTTAAAACAATGGTCATTCATTTCATTTCCTAAGAGACATTAGACATTGGTATTTGGTTTTCTCATACTGTAAACCCTGTTTCAATGATATGATAGAGATTGATATTCTATAAGTAGAGAATCTCCCTGACCATTCTAAGTCAACATCTGATTGAGGTTCTGATTGACCACCAGCAAATTGCTAAGGGAACCCTTGAGCTGTTTTTGTTCTCCTTCCTGCAAAGGGCCCTGCAGTGGACTACAAATGCCGCCTTCCTCTTTAAACACAAAAGAGGGACCTGTGGTGGTAGCTCTCTGGTCACAGAGAGAAACAGTTAGTTTCCCAGGTATTGTTCTGGGAAAAGCTGTGAGAAGCTCAGAGAAAATAATTGTAGACAATTCTTAAGTTGCTGCACCTGGTGTTTGTGAACATGTGGAATGTCTTATGGAAATATGTTTACCAAAGGGTGGATGCTTAATTAGCCAATTATGACAGTTTTTTTAATTAGAGGATCAATCAGGTCTACCTGTAGTGAACTAGAGTATAAAAAGAAATGGGTTTCCTAATAAAGTGGATGAGTCTTCTGAGAATGTATGGAGTGTGTCACTAATTTATCTGTGTAATTTCTGATTTAATGGTGACAATGAACAGGTATCACAAATGCTGATAAAAAATTGGAAAAGGGATCTCTGACTTGAAATCTTAAACAAATAAAATTCAACAGCAGCAACATGTAAAAATCCAAAGACCTTTTAGTTTGCTAATCAGCATTAAGAAAAGTGGTGCTTCCTGTTATAGATGAGTAATGTAATAGTTGGCTCTCACAATTAAAAGATAGATATATAGTAATGATATTGTAATATGCCATCCCCATAGGCCTCTTTTATCTCCCCCTTGTAATAGCCTCAGTAGTCAGGGTATTTGGAGAGGGCTGGCTTATTACCAGGAGGCGTGGCATAACAATACCTGACTTCCAATCAAGATATAAGAAAGTAATCTCCACCAATGCATGGCAGACAAGGAGTTGACTGACAAAACTTTGAGAGGGGCTAAAATCCCAGTCAAGAGGGTTAGAAATTTTTTTTAGGGTTTGGTTCATATTTTCTTATTTTTTATACTCAGGATTTTCCACACTTGGGTCTACTCCTGGGTTAGGGGTTTCATCAGCTCCTCTAGACATCTTAGCCCTCATTCTAGAGAAGCTGTAGACTGTATAGAGGAAGCTTATTAGATTAAATACTAGAAAAGTGGTCTACTTTAACATTTAGGGGAAACTGAACATTCTCAAAAAGTGACATAACAGATTTAAAGGAGAAGAAGGAAAGGAAAGGCTGGAAAGCTTCATCCTCTGGGTTTTTTTTTTTAAACAAACTGGGTGTAATTGCTAATAAACGCTTAAAACATACTACTGGAACTGGGACACAGGGTAGGACGAAGAAACTATAAACTATACTCATCTTGAACAGACTCTAGTATTTTTGTAAATGCTATATAAATCATTATTACTGAGCCTAGCACACTAGCTATTTTAATCTGTGCCCTTCTACTGTAAAAAACTACATATTAGGGACAATACTAGAGCTATCTCTGGACAAAAAAATAATTTTAGTGACTAGAAAGGTATTAAAACTTTAAAAAAGTTTAGAGACTAGAACTATATGAAGGCTTCTACTCTGAGAGATATTATGAATTTAAGTAACATGGCTAGCGACTGCTTTAATTCATTACAGAGTAAGCACAACTAGCATGTAATTAATAAAGATTTTTTTCACTTTCTTGGCCCCACGTTGAGCACCAATAAATGTATTTGTCTTGGTTTAGGGCAAATTTGGGAGATAACCTTCAAAGGGGTTCCTCTAGGAAGCAGATTTAATCGGCCCCTCCCCCAACTGGGTCGGGAAAAATACTTCTTTGGAGAAAAGTGGAAAAACCTGTTTATTAAACAAGAAAACCTAAACAATATTAAACAATAAAACCTCTTGCTGCTCTAAAAGAGAGGCAAATTTAGAAAGTCCATTTTATGGGTTGCAGTTTGTCTCAGTCTCTTATTAGTCCCTCTGGCACTAGGAATGCTGCAGCCCAGGCCCGGCCTGCTGAGCCACAGGTGTGAGCTGACACTCCTCTTCTGGGTGTTTAGTCTAGAGCAGTTTTAAACAGGTCTAAAGCAAAGGAAAAGAAAAAACAAACCACAGTCTAGGGAACTTCTTTGCCTCAGTTAACTAAAACTAACTAAAAGCAAAGGAGAGCTCTGTCCCACTATCTATCTGTAGACAACACAGTCCAGGAGCAGGAATGTGGAGGAGTGAGTGCAGTTTTCTGAAAACAAACTGCATGTTTCTTCTCTCTCCTTTTCACTCTTGGAACAAGTTATAAAGGTGCAAAACTTGTTATTTAGCATAAACAGAACAGACGATTGGGGATAAAAGCATCCTATAGTCAACCCAGGACAGGTATAAAAGGCAGAGCATCCATTTTGCAGACGAGCATGTGGCTGGTAGTCACAGAGACTCCCAGTGCTGAAAATGTTTTCCTTATTTGGTCTGTTGTTGTAATTTTTGTTAAGGTTTAATAAACCTTTGAAATTTTAAAAGTGAGCAGTTGTTTCTCACACTTCCCCAGAGGAAATACAGCTCACAAATGGTATGCATATGACTAAAGAGTCATAAACCAGATGCTTTGAGGTTTTTTCCCCCCATCTTTTTCTTCAAATTGCCTGTGTAGATTTAACTCATTTACTCAGTGTTGGAACGTAAATTTTGAGTGTCTGTTGGATTTTAGTGTGTACTATCAAATATAGCTTTGGAGTTTTGTGTCAGATTAACACTACTGATGGAAGTGTTATAGGTGAGTAATAAGATGGTTGGCTCTCATAATTAAGGGATGAATATTATGTATATGTCAGGAGAAGTTATGTAGATGTATAGTTACGTTACTGTATTATGTCATCCTATAGTCTTCTTTCCCCTCCCCCTTGTATTGTTGCCAGAAGGATGGCGTTGGTAGTTGGGGCATTTGGGGAGGGTTGACTTGTTACTATGGTAACACCTGACCTCCAATCAAGATGTAAGAAAGTGATCTCCACCACTGGACGGTGAAGAAGGAGTCAACTGACAAGACTTTGGGAGGGGCTAGAGGTATAAAAGGTGGAGCATCCATTTTGTAGACGAGCACATGGCGGTTTAGTTCCATGCTCCCAGTGCTACAATTTTCCCTTATTCAGTCTTCTGTTGTCTTTTTGTTAAGGTTTAATAAACCTTTGAAATTTTAAAAGTGAGTGTCATTTCTCACAGAAGGGATGGACAATGAGGAATCCTCATGCCTGAGGGAGAAATTACGCTGGTTTTCTCTGCCTCTCAACCCTCCTCAAGGCTGCCTGCTTGCAAAGACGAGATTTACATAACAAAAGGCAAGGTTGGTGCTGGTGGTATCTGCAGCAGAATTGGTTACATTGCAAAATAAAACTAACAAGCAGAAAAATATTACAAACTTCAAAAGGTGGGAGGAAAACACACTCATCCCTAAGACATGCTAGCATTACAAAAACCTAACCCTATACTGGATAAACAATAGATGGAATTGAAAGTACTGGCAGTAAACGAAAAAGCAAAGGTGGTGTAATTCTTACACAAACTGAGCTGGTGTTACATGCTGATTGTGTCAGTGGAAGTGCAAGACTGGCAAGTAAATGGAAAAGAGAATTTTAACAGAAAGATGTTTAAATGGCTGTTTTTGCAGGCTCAGTCCCAATGAATCCATATAGTGAAACAAAAGATTTTCCAGAGATCACTTAAACTAACAAAATGAATGTATCAAAAATAGATGTATAAAAGGAATGTATCAAAAATGAGTGTATCAGAAATGAATGTATCATGTTTGTAGAATTGTGTGTTGAATTTTAAGAAACCCCTGCACAGAAGGGCATAGGAAAGAAAAACAAAGATCTCTAAAGCTTCTTGCAAAGGACAAATACCGGAAAGGACAAAGAATGCTAAGACCCCCAGACGAGGAAGCCCTATGTCGCCAGCATGTCAAAAATTATGAACTTATCCAGATAAGAGAGCAAAGGACCAAAAGCGCAAGCGCAGAGGAGGAGAGTTCAAAAGTTCAATGCTGAGGAAGACTAAGATATAAATAAAAAGACCACCAGGGACCCCCATAAGAAACCCTCACAAAGAACTACGCGTGCTCAGAAGGGCGTGGACCTATTTAGCATGAGAACCGAAGACAGGCGGGGCCAGGGGTTGAATATGCATAGAAAAATTGTGTAATGTATTGCATATGTAACACCTTTGTGAATAAATTCGGGGGGCAGACTTCAGCTCGGGGCACAAGATTTCGGAGAGTTATCTCACTTGTGCCGAGCGCTCCCATACATACCCACTTCATAACTACCTCGAGTTGTGGAGTCTATTTATTTAGTCCGAATATCGCTTCATTTGGCGACCGCGGCAGGACTTCTCTGCTCACCTGTGGGTTCGGTGGAGGGCAGACACCCTCAGGCGCCGCGGGGCACTTTCCCCGGAGGGATTCTGGACCTCGGCTGTACACTACAGGGAGCAGAGCACGGCCCGTCGATAAGCGGACCAAAAGTGGTATGTATTATTTTCTTTTGTTTAAGAACGGCACTGATAAGTCGCATTAAAACGCTTCTTGCGCTCAGGTTTGCCAAAGGGGCTTGCAAGCGGACCGCCATCAAGGGTAAGATCGGCGGCGGAGAGGGTCCCCCCCCCCCCTTTTTTTTTGTTTTGAGCTGATTGCGCAGCTAAAAGAGGGAGGAAAGGGTTAAAATCCCAGGGCTGATTGTGCAGCTCGAGAGGAGAAAGAGAGGTTCCCCCCCTTTTTGTTTTGAGCTGATTGCGCAGCTAAGGGAGGGAGGAAAGGGTTAAAATCCCAGGGCTGATTGTGCAGCTCGAGAGGAGAAAGAGAGGTTCCCCCCCCTTTTTGTTTTGAGCTGATTGCGCAGTTAAGGGAGGGAGGAAAGGGTTAAAATCCCAGGGCTGATTGTGCAGCTCGAGAGGAGAAAGAGAGGTTCCCCCCCTTTTTGTTTTGAGCTGATTGCGCAGCTAAGGGAGGGAGGAAAGGGTTAAAATCACAGGGCTGATTGTGCAGCTCGAGAGGAGAAAGAGAGCCCCCCCCCCCTCTTTTTTTGTGTTTTTGAGCTGATTGCGCGGCTAAAGGAGGGAGGAAAGGGTTAAATCCAAGAGCTGATTGTGCAGCTCAAGAGGAGAAAGACAGAGATCTCCGTTTCAGTGTGGTGTGTTTGTTACGTCCGGACGTGCGTGCTTGTATATATGTGTGTCTGTGTGAGTGAAACAGTAAGAGACGCGGCACTGCCGGAAATTGCCGCGGCGCTGCGAAAAGTCGCCGCGCAGCGTTGCTAAGCGTCGCGGAGGGGCCGGGGAGGCGCGGCGCTACCGGAAGTCGCTGCGCAGCGTTGCTAAGCGACGCAGCGCAGCGGGGCCGGGAAAGCGCAGCGCTTTTGTTGCTAAGATACCGCGACGCGGCGCGGGCTGTCTCTGGTGAGCAAGAACGCAGCCCAGACTTGCTAACTACTAGCGCAGCTAGTAAAAGGCAGGACTTGCAAACACCACTTACAAGCATCACTAGTTCCTAAGTAGTCGTTGTGCAAAATCAAGAACATTTGCTGCTGAGTCCTAACTAACAAAAAAAAAAAAAAAAAAAAAAAAAAAATCTTTTTTCCTTCCCTCCCCAGTGGCCTGGATTAAATTTGTAAGGCTCTAGGAGGCATAATGGGAGCAAAACAAAGTACAGAAATATCCAAGGCCAGCCCATTAGTGTGTATCTTAGCTCACTGGAAGGAAATAGCAGGTAAAGGGGGCGTGGAAAACAAAAAGAGCTTAATCAAATATTGCTCCCATTGGTGGCCACTCTATCGCCTAGAGGAGGGGGCCAGATGGCCTCCTACAGGTACATTGGAGTATAATACCTTGTTGCAGTTGATGCTATTTTTACGAAGGGAAGGGAAATGGGAGGAAGTTTCTTATTGTAATATGTTTTTCTCCCTTCGAAATAACCCTGATTGGCAAAGGGACTGTGGCATCAGGGCCCCCTCTGATCCCCTCGTTCTGGCTCTGGAAAGGGAAAACAGAGGCAAAATGGGGAAACTTAAACGGTGCTGCTCAGCCTGTAGTATAGGACAGAGGTGCACCAGGACAGATAAAGTTTATCGCACAGCACTAGAAGAGCAAGAACAAGATCTAAGTAATCTATTTAGTCCTCACTTAAGAAGGCAAGAAGGAAGAGGTGAGAACTTAGGAGAGGCATCAGCACCATCTCCAACACCTCCACTACACACCCCACCTGCATCACCTGCATCACCTGCAGTACCTGCAGTACCTGCAGTACCTGCAGCACATACACCTGTTCCACCCACCCCTTCTCTTCCTTCAGAAAGAACACACGCTCCAACCCCTACAGATAGCCCAATTGCATCCCGAACCAGAGGACAGATACTGCAAGCCCCTTTAAGAGAGATAGTGACATTAGAGGGAGAAAAGGCACTAGTCAAGGTACCATTCTCCACCCTTGATTTGGAAGCATGGGAAAGGGTTGCAGGAGATTACCGAAATGACCCAGTCAACACTGCTAAACGTTTACGATACATTATGAAGCAACACAACCCAGACTGGGGTGACATTCAATTGTTATTAGATGCGTTCACTGAAACAGAAAAGCAGTTGGTTCTAAAAACAGCAGGAGATCTGGTAGCAGACCATTTTAGAGAACAAGAAGTAGATCTAAGGGAACATTTTCCACTTCAAGACCCAGGCTGGAACCCAAACCAGCCAGAAGGGAGATAAAAGCTAAAGAAGTACCAAGACTGGGTAATATTGGGAGTGGAAAGAGCAATTCCTAAGACCATAAATTGGTCAGCTCTATATGCTATCAAACAGGGACCCTCAGAATCCCCCACAGAGTTCCTAGACCGTTTGAGAAATGCAATGCGGCGCTATACACCACTAGACCCTGCATCTGAGGTGGGAATACAGCAACTAGTTAATCTATTTTTGGGGCAGTCCACAGGGGATATCAGGCGCAAGCTCCAGAAGATTCGAGGAGAAAACGCCCGGAATCTAGAAAATCTACTGGGAGAAGCCTGGGGGGTCTTTAGCAACAGGGAGGAAGGATATAAGCGAGGGATGAAAAATTTAGTAGCAATAGTACAGGAGGAGCGGAGAGGAAAACATGGAAACAGGCAGGAGCCATCCAGGCAAGGCCCTCCCCGATTGGGCAGAAATCAATGTGCAAACTGTCGGAAACAGGGCCATTGGAAGAGGGACTGTCCAGAATGGAAACAAAATGGTCAAGGGAATCAAAGAGGGGCAATGGTGGCCCATGTGCAAGAAGATTAGGGGGGACCGGAGGAGACTACCCCAGCAGGCCCTCTGGTTGTAAATCTGAAGCTGGGGGAAATGGAGAAAGAAGTAAGATTCCTAATTGACACTGGGGCAACACACTCAGTTCTAAATACAGCTTTGATGCCTATAGGAGATGATTATGTTATAGTTACGGGTGCGACTGGCCAAACTGAAAAGGCATTTTTCTTCAGGCCACTCAAATACAAACTGGGAAAGCAGTGGGGGATTCACAAATTCCTATATATGCCTAACTCCCCTGAGACACTTTTGGGCAGGGATTTGCTAGCACAATTACAAGCAACCATTACATTTAAAAATGGGGAAATGACTCTGGAGGTAAACGATCAAAAATATGTAGAAATATTAAGTTTGATACTAACCACTAACGAAATCACGAGAGAAACTGAAATTAATGAAGTAGTAATGGATCAGGTATTCCCTGGGGTGTGGGCCTCTGATGTACCAGGGAGAGCGAAAAATGCTTCCCCTATACAGATCCGGCTAAAAGAAGGAAAACACCCGGTCAGGGTTAAACAGTATCCCTTGAGGAGGGAGGATAGGGAAGGGATTAGCCCAATAATTGAAAACTTCTTACGTCTAGGAATACTCAAGGAATGTCAGTCTGATTTTAATACCCCTATCCTACCGGTGCGCAAACCTGATGGGTCATACCGGTTAGTACAAGATCTGCGAGCTGTGAACAAGGTAACTGAGGACCTGCATCCTGTGGTAGCCAATCCCTACACGTTATTAACTTGCTTAACACCTGAATTAACTTGGTTTACCGTTTTAGATTTAAAAGATGCCTTCTTTTGCCTTCCTATCCATGAAGCCAGTCAGAAAATTTTTGCATTTGAATGGGAAAGCCCCAAAAGTGGGCGGAAGACCCAACTTACGTGGACGAGACTCCCACAAGGATACAAAAATTCACCCACTCTGTTTGGAGAGCAACTTGCGAAGGAATTAGAGACTTGGAAAGCCCCTCCCAAGGAAGGAAAGCTGTTACAGTACGTAGATGACATCCTGATAGCCACACGGACAAAGGACGCATGCGTGGCCTGGACGGTAAGCCTCTTGAACTTTCTGGGGCTCCAAGGGTACCGGGTATCCAAGAAAAAGGCCCAAGTAGTCACACAAAAAGTAATTTATCTGGGTTACGAAGTCAGTGCTGGACAACGTAGCCTGGGCCAAGGCCGGAAGGAGGCAATATGTCAAACCCCAAAACCTCAAACTGTAAAGGAGTTACGAACTTTCCTGGGGATGACAGGGTGGTGCAGATTATGGATCTATAATTATGGACTGCTTGTAAAGCCCTTATATGAACTAATTGCAACTGAAAGCAGGGACATCCAGTGGACAAAGGAAGCTACACAGGCTTTCAACCAACTGAAAAAAAGCCCTCATGTCAGCTCCAGCTCTGGGACTGCCAGATGTGAGTAAGCCTTTCCTTTTGTTCTCCCATGAGAAGCAAGGAATTGCCTTGGGAATATTAGCACAGGACCTCGGTCCATACCGGAGAGCAGTTGCTTATTTCTCTAAACAGTTAGACACAGCCGCTAAAGGGTGGCCTGGGTGCCTCAGGGCTGTGGCAGCAGTTGTAATGAACATCCAAGAAGCACATAAATTCACCCTGGGCCAGAGAATGACTGTGCTAGTGTCTCACACGGTGTCTGCAGTACTGGAGGTGAAAGGCGGACACTGGCTTTCCCCACAACGATTCCTGAGATACCAAGCTATTATGGTAGAACAAGATGATGTAGAGATAGTGGTGACTAACATTGTCAACCCAGCTTCCTTCCTCAGTGGAAACCGAGGAGAACCAGTGGAGCATGACTGCCTAGAGACCATCGAGGCCACCTACTCCAGCCGCTCTGACCTGAAGGAAACCCCTCTCGAGAATGCAGAAGCCTGGTTTACTGACGGAAGCAGTTATGTCGTCAATGGAAAACGGCACGCCGGGTACGCAGTAACCACCTGCAAAGAGGTAATAGAATCTGGACCCCTGCCAACAAATACCTCTGCACAAAAGGCCGAAATATTCGCTCTAACTCGGGCCTTAGAATTGGCAAAAGGGAAAGAGATAAATATATATACGGACTCAAAGTATGCTTTCGGAATAGTGCACGCTCATGGAGCCATCTGGAAAGAGAGGGGACTGCTGAACTCTCAAGGGAAAAACATTAAACATGCATTTGAAATACTGCGACTTCTGGAAGCAGTGCAATTGCCAGAGAAAGTAGCGATCATGCACATTAAGGCACACCAGAGGATAAACTCAGAACTGGAAGAGGGAAACGAGCTGGCGGATAGGAAAGCAAAAGAAGCAGCAAGGATGGAGGTAATAACTGAGGTAGCACTGATCCCAGATGGGCAAATTTCCCTCGAAGGTAAGCCGAAATACAACAAATTAGACACAAAATTGATTCAAGAGCAAAAAGGACATTATAACTCAGAGGGATGGGCTACCATAGAAGGAAAGTTAGTCATACCCTTCTAGTTATTATGGTCCCTAGTAAGGGAGGAGCACCAGAAAACACATTGGGGAATAGATGCCTTGTATAGATATCTGAATGAGAAGATCATAGCTAGACATTTACGAGCCACCATCACTCAAGTGACTCGACAATGTGACCTTTGCCTCCAGACAAACCCCAAGAATATTCCCAAACCAAAACTTGGCCAGATTGGGAAGGGCCATGGGCCAGGACAACAATGGCAGATTGATTTCACGGAATTGCCAAGAAAAGGGGGGTATAAGTTTTTACTGGTCCTAACAGATACCTTTTCAGGATGGCCAGAAGCCTTCCCCACCAGAACTTCTAAAGCTCGAGAGGTAACTAAGGTATTGGTACAGGAAATCATACCACGATTTGGGGTCCCGGCTACAATCTCCTCAGATAGAGGACCACATTTTATTGCAAAATTAGTACAACAGGTTAGCCAATACTTGGGCATAGACTGGGAACTTCACACCCCATATAACCCACAATCAAGTGGTCAAGTAGAGAAAATGAATCATTTGATCAAACAACAAATTGTACGGTTGGGACAGGAGGCTAATTTGCCATGGCCCCAATCCCTCCCACTAGCACTACTGCGGATTCGAACCAAACCCAGGACCAAAGAAAAACTGAGCCCTTTTGAATTGCTTTATGGGAGACCATATGGGGTGCAGAAGGGAACATCTGCCCAGGACGTATCACTAACCTCCTATATGATCGCTCTAAATAAACAACTTAGAGCAATCGAGAAATATATAGCCGGAACTCGGGGTACGGGACTCGATGCACCGGTACATGATGTACAACCTGGAGACTATGTATATATTAAGTCTCTTACAGAGAGAGCCCTGGAACCACAGTGGGAGGGACCATACCAAGTACTCCTTACTACCTTCACTGCAATCAAGATTAAGGAACAAAGCGCCTGGATCCACCACAGTCGGGTTAAGAAAGCTCCAGAAGCCACTTGGAAGATAACACCGGGTGATGGTGAACTAAAACTAAAATTTACTCGAACAAAATGAATATGTCATGGTGGGTGGGGACTTTTACTGAAATATTGTTTACAATCCTAGCTGCATTCCAACAATTAGAAGGTAAACCTAGTCAGAACGACGTTAAATGGCCTTGGTCCCAAGCCTTTACTCAATACACTGGATCCATGGGGAAAATTTCCGATTTAGGAGGTTTAAATCTAACAACTCTGGTCATACACAGTAATCAAATATATACCCAACAAGAGTGGCAAAACCAGGGTTTGTGGTCACTCCAAGGGACCATAGGAGAAGTAATTGAAATAGGGTGTCGAATGATTAATGGGACTACCCACAACAAAGTGACTCAAATCAGTGTGAATGATCGCCAGAAGATTTGCAATCATCCAAGTGAATTAGACTGTTGGTGCAAATTCAAATTAGAACAAACTAGTAAAGTGGTTTGCCTCTGGGCCCGTGACACTATTGGGCTGTCCTTTAAATTTATAATAAATGCTATAGCCAAACCAGCTACAACCCACTCCAGCACTCAAGCGCAAACCCAAAATACACCATCCAATCTTGAACCTAGAGTTTATGAAATCGGGCCATATGTTATAAGGAATACGGGCCAACAAAAACTGTTATTTAACCCAGAATGGTCCCTTAAACGCATTGAACTGTTAATGCAAATTAATATCTCGACAGTTCAGCCAGCCTGCTCCCCTTTCCTAAGGTCGTCCTTCGAAGGATGGACAAAGTGGCTACAGAAACGAGTACACCTCCGAGATAGAATGCAAAGGGATTTGACTGGGATCTTAGGGACCGGGTTAGGAGTTTTGAACGGGATTGACTCTGAAATATTGATGAATAAATTAGCTATAGCAACTAGCGACCTAACAAAATTAAAACAACCCTTACAGTCATCTCTATTAGCACTAGGAAATAGTCAGTGGCAGGTTTCAAGAGTACTGCCAAAATGGAGAAACTTTGAAGATCATGACCATAGTTTACTGATAGATGCATTAGGAGGAGCACAAGAGAACATATCTTTAGCCCTTAGCTGTATACAAGCGCAATTATGGATACAGTCAACAGCTGCTTTAATCATAAGGGAAGGAAGTGAAGGGGTGTTTCCAGTGGAAATACGAAAAGTTGTCTGGGACAGTGCTACAGACTTTGAGAGAGACCTCCAGTCTTGGTGGACCATGGTAAATTTTACATATGATCCCACCACTACCACAGCTACTGCCTTTGTGCTCACCGTTCGTAATGCCACGGTTCACACTATTCACCCCATCATTGCTCTAGGATTAAGTCATGAAAAGTCAGTACTCTACCCCTCAGAACACAGAGCATGGGCCTGGAAAAACCAAGGGAAATGGCAAACCATCAACCTAGAGCCTTGCATTGCTCGAGAACAACAAGGATTAATCTGTGAGAGTAATCTGATTAGTGCTCAAGACGTATGCCTTGACACTGATCAGGGCATTTGCCACTTTGAAATCCACCCAGACAACAACCAACAAACTATACTAGTATACATAGGCGATGGCTGTGTGTGTTTGAGAACTGTGTGTAACGTTATAGAAATTGATAAAAACAAAGTCCCCTTGTCTAGTAAAAATCATTCAAATTTCTGTATTTGTAACTTCATCAAGATTACCGGGTGTGATTTTATATACTCAGCACCAGTCGTATCCCACCAGTTAATGAAGTCAAACTACACAACCTACGATGAATTACCTCCCACAACTATTGGGATGAATCTGACCCTAGTAAAACAATTAATGAAACATCAAGATCTAATCAAAATTATAGAGGAGGTTCATAAAAATGGGCGGAGAACTCTGGTTACAGTCCATCATGACGTAACTGAAATAAACAAAGTCCTGCAAAGAATAAAACAAGACGGAAGTCATAACTGGTGGGATGCATTGTTTGGGTGGTCACCGACTGCGACGGGCATCATGAACACTCTATGTCACCCCATTATTGTCTTACTAATATTGGTTACCATAAGTCTAATAATGTCTATTTTAACACTTGTGTGGAATTGGAATATGATACAACGTGTACCCATTCTAACTTCACTTTCTAGAACTCATGGGATCCTGATAAAAGAAGACTATCATGATAGTAAGCTAGGAATGAGACCAGAACCCCTGTAGTAAAAGAATTTACTATGTTTTAAGAAAAGGGGGGACTGAAACAAAAGATTTTCCAGAGATCACTTAAACTAACAAAATGAATGTATCAAAAATAGATGTATAAAAGGAATGTATCAAAAATGAGTGTATCAGAAATGAATGTATCATGTTTGTAGAATTGTGTGTTGAATTTTAAGAAACCCCTGCACAGAAGGGCATAGGAAAGAAAAACAAAGATCTCTAAAGCTTCTTGCAAAGGACAAATACCGGAAAGGACAAAGAATGCTAAGACCCCCAGACGAGGAAGCCCTATGTCGCCAGCATGTCAAACATTATGAACTTATCCAGATAAGAGAGCAAAGGACCAAAAGCGCAAGCGCAGAGGAGGAGAGTTCAAAAGTTCAATGCTGAGGAAGACTAAGATATAAATAAAAAGACCACCAGGGACCCCCATAAGAAACCCTCACAAAGAACTACGCGTGCTCAGAAGGGCGTGGACCTATTTAGCATGAGAACCGAAGACAGGCGGGGCCAGGGGTTGAATATGCATAGAAAAATTGTGTAATGTATTGCATATGTAACACCTTTGTGAATAAAGTCGGGGGTCAGACTTCAGCTCGGGGCACAAGATTTCGGAGAGTTATCTCACTTGTGCCGAGCGCTCCCATACATACCCACTTCATAACTACCTCGAGTTGTGGAGTCTATTTATTTAGTCCGAATATCGCTTCAATAGGACTGGTTAATACTCATGCAAGAACCCAGGAGTTACAAGCCTATCAATGTGGGAATCCAGGGCTTCCCTCTGGCTGCCCTGGCAGGTCTAGGACCCTGGCAGGGGTCAGGAACCCCCCTGTACAGAGCCCCAAGAGACACTGTCTGTGATCTCTGTCCATGGAGAGGAGTTTTCAATCTTACAGGATGAATTACAAGCTCTGAGTGTTTGATAAGAGTAATTAATTAAGTGTGGCACAGGTGCAAAAGTAAAATTTTAGGTTTCTAGATTAGGGGTTCAGAGGGGACAAGAAGGAGGAATTGGGTGTGTCTTGTCTTTTTCCTCCTTCTTCATGCCCTCCATGTTTCACTGTAGTGTTGGCATTTATCTATTGGTTTAAGCTGGGGACATGCTGTTTAACGTAGGTGATAAATATTGGCACATTATTGTAAATATAGTACACATAGTTTCTGGTATATAATGTTTATAACATCCCACTGAGGGGCAGGGCCCCGCACGCTGCCCTGCAGGACAGACCTGTGGCAGGGCAGCAGAACATGTTATAGATAAGCAAGAATAAACAACCTTGAAAACAGCACAGACGAATTATGGCTTCTTCTTTGGCAACGGGGCAGAAAGACAGAGACTTTCTACAATCTCGGAATCACCAATACCCACAGATTCCGACATATCAAAACTGTTATGAACAAAACAGACTGGCTGAGACACTTGGCTCGAACTAAGTACCGACACTGAAATGTTAATTAGTTAATTGCTCCTGGGAATCACCTATCCCCCACCCTCACTACCATTCTAGGACTGGGATGCAAAATAGGGAGACCAGTGGACTCATGGGAGGGGGTTTTGGGGATGAAAACACGCCTAAATGGAAGGATGGGTGTGCTGCTTGGGGAAAAGGGAACCACATCTCTAGTCTGTGTTTGACCTGTCACCATAACCTGCAGAGGACCAGACTGGACTGGGCTGGGGGAAGCAGGCACAAAAGAACAACTCTTCCTGGTGTTACCAGGAGGGAAGGAGAGGGGACAGCTGCTGTTGGACTTTGGCAGCAGGCTCTGCACATCCCCTCACCCTTTGGCTACCAGTGTGCCAGCTGGGACTTCAGATACAGACTGCACACCTCTTCAACTCCAGCTACCAGTGTGCCACGGAAACTCGAGGGACAGACTCTGCACGCCTTCTCCCCCTTCAGCTACCGGGAAAGCTACAACAGCAGGGGTGAGCTCTGTGTCAAGCCCCCTGCCGAGCTGATCTTTTTAATAAAGAGCTGAACATTAATAAAGGCATAGACCCTGTTCATTACAATAGCAGCAAAGTGAATTAGCTGAAAAAAATCAGAAAGATAAAAACTAATCCACAACACTAGTGTTATAAATAACTATGTAGCTGTTGGCTTTTGCTATTATGTACTGGCTTTTGCAAATTATTATTAATCACAACAATTTTGATATAGCACAATTTGTAATCACTTTTAACTGCTTTAATATAGTATTATTTGTCAGCTTTTGTGGCCAATGCCCTGGCCCTGTGTAGCTTATATATTAGTATGATAAACATATATTTTAGGCTTTCGCAAAATATTAAAATAGAGACTATGCGTTGTTCATCGTATTGTTAACTTTTGCAGAAGTAGCTACCGCCTTTATTTTTGTAACTAACTGACAAGGGTGAGTATAACTCAGATAATTTCGTTAAATAGCCAATGTTGATTTAATGTACTTGTGGAGTTTCTTATCTGTGTGATAAGATAACATTGAAAAGAACCAGGAAAATAAACATCAAAAGAAAGAATGTAAGGAAGAATTTACCACTGACCCTTCAGGATATCAATAACTGTCAAAACACAGAACAGGGGGCCTTGTGAAGAAATAAAATATATAAATTTCATCTGCAGTATGGCACATACTTTAAGAAGACGGGTCAAGGACCAAACCAAGCAGAAAGAATGCCTGGAACATGTAAACTCAAAGGAATGTTTAAGTATGTATAATCTTCATGAATATGCATTTGACCAATGTAATGAAAAAGTATATAAGAAAATTGTTTTAAGTTAACTGGTGTGCCTCTGGCAGTTGCCAAGTACCCAGTGCTGTTTACTGTCCCTTTTATCCCTTGTTAAACTTTAAAAATTTTAAAGAGTGAGCCTTGTTTCTCACACTAGTATCAGTTTGATGAATAGTTACATTGTAAATTAGGGTACACTGGAAACTATTTTTGCAACACAAAGCAGGAACTTTGTTGACCAGGAAGATGTGTAAAGGCATTCTCACACAATGTCCATATTGCCAACTGAGGCTTGAGTAAAGCCGTCCAAACCTGGCACCACCTTTGCATATAAAAAAATAACAAAACACTCTGGTCAACTTGGCAAATAGGTTATATTGAACCTCTAAACCATCTAACACTTACAAGTAATTGCCACTAGAAGCAGGCATACTGATGCAAAGACTACTATTTCAGAACTCAGTGACTGATTTTCCAGTCTCCCTGTACTAAAACTCTATACAGTTACACTCTTGCCTCTGTACAAGCTTAACTTTGCTCTGAAACAAAACGAGTTTCTCAGTGAAGCCTCTCAAACTGCTCCTACACTGTCCCTGTCTGGCAGGAGTGAATATAGTGCTGTATTTAAAACTAGAGGCCAGAGATCGAACCACTGCCATAACTGTGAGAAACATATCTATAATTGCTTAAGTTCTGTTGTTTTGGTTTCTCTAATAACCTTGAATGTTTAAGTATACCCTCACTAGACAAAAGCTAGGTGTGTATCTGGATGTGGAACAAGAAGCCATTCAAGTAGCAGTGAGAAGGACTGTTCACTACCTGCACAGCTGCCAAAAACAGTGAAATTTCTGGACTCCTATAAGCAAATAAAGCCAGCTCTGGACACAGAGACGCCATATTGGACTATATAGTAACTAATCAATCTGCTGTAACCAAAAATGTCAGTTATGGTATTGTTTGCATTTTTATGCTTACAGTTCAATGTTTGCAATAATGCAGCATGGCTAATCAGCCATCCCAACAAAAACTACTAGTGCTGTTTTTTCCTAAACACACATACAGCAAATGTTACCTGACCCTTGGAAGGGAAACTCACACATAAAGCTAATGCAAGCTGTGACACTGATAACAAATTGCAACGATTGCTAGTTCGTTCTCAGTCCTTTATGTATTTCATGAAAGTATTCAAATGGTGAGAACTCCACACCAAATATATTCTTTAAAGGTCTTACTCCAACTAAGGTGATACCACTCCTGGAAGGAGAGATAACCCAAATCTCCATAAATCGACAGTTTGATGATACAATCAATGCCTTGAAACAAAAATTTACCAACCTCTCAAAGTTAATTGAACAAAATCAAATAGCTTTGGATTTGCTTTTGGCTTCCACAGCACAACTATTCCACTTAAACTTGTTGACATAGCATTAAAACCCTCATTTAGTACTACTGAAGTACCAAATTATTTGATAGTTTTAGTTGTTTTGATTATACTTTGTGGTGCTCTATAAATATTGCTTTAGGATGCTTATGTCTTTGATCGTCAGTGGGTAGAAAATATTTCACCCTAAATATGACTTGAATTTTCATATGATTATGAAATCAATTTTGTTTACTTCTTCCTACATCTCCAGGATAAAACATAAAATTCCCAATTGGAGTAATATCCTAAGTAAGTAAAAATAATTGAGCTTTATTACATCTTTGATTCCCTGTGACAGACTATTATATAATACATATATATTGGTTTAGATTATTTTAGAATTGCCTAACACTTGATATATTAAGCAAGAATATGCAAAATACTGAACTTCACTGAAGAACATTGGACTAAGAAGCGTGAATGGAAGTGAAAAGAGTCACTGACCATCCATTGAACTCCTTCAATCACTACAACGAAGAAGATACCTCCATGAATTCTTTGTTCCTGATTTGCATCTCATCCTCCTATGATCTTAAGACTCAAGGGGTGGGGAACAACCTATCCTACATGGACTGATAACAACACAAATAAAAATGACTTATTAGATTGTCTTCAACTATCATGAACACTCTAAATTTAATGCCATGTCTTATAATCTTTTGGTTTATCACTAATGTTTTTTTTAATATACATATATGTGTTACATGATCCAATACTTAAATACATAAGCTGAAATGACAGCAGGTGTTTCTTATCAATATCAATAATATATACAACATCTTTTGAAGAAATAATGCATCTTAGGAAAACAATGTGTATCAAAACACTCAATGATGGTGCACAAATATATGAAAGTGGATGCTTTTATAGCATGGAGGCAAGAGGTACCTGCACTATCCCTCCATGAGGTAAAGCCGGTGCCTTCAGTCA